CGCTGTGGGTCCTTGGGGCTTCTCTTAGAAGTTCTGGGTCTGTCTGACCCGGCTGCAGTTAGGTAATTACAGGTTGCAAATGGCCGGGGCATTCATATGCAGAAGCCTCTGCGGCAGCCTGGGTGGGGCGGGGTCTCAAGGAATCAAAGGGCAGAGCAAGCAGCTATGGCGGAGCCTCAGCCCTGCCCTAAGGAGCTGCGAGTCTCAGTGTCCTGTAATGGCTGCAAGCACCTCTGAGCGAAAGCCGCCCTCAAGATCGCCCGCTGCCAGACAGTCCAGTTTCTCCCCGCATGAGTCCTGGGTCCCCAGAGACTTCCCGGAACCGGAGTTCAGAGCTGTCAGGAGCTTGTGACTCCCTCCCGATTCAAAAAGACAGCCGCGTCATCAGGTGCCAGCCCCTTTCCGCGCGCGCGAGCCCCGTACCTCTGCGCTTCTCTCCTGCAGCTTCTCTGGGTCTCAGTGTGCCTTTCCTTCCTTCTAGTTGTAGAATTTACAGTCAGCCAGGCTTCCTGTGGTTCTGGATGAAGTCCGTATTGTTTCTCTGAGGTATTAATCAATTGTTGTGAGCGGCATTAATTTCCCGGTGTTTATCTCTGCCGCCATCTTGGTTTCTCTCAAGAGTTTCTGTCTGTTTTTATTCATTTGCTTTTATGAATATATACCCAGCTCCTAGAATCATCCCTACTGTATAACAAGAACTTAATAAGTATCTGTAGAATGAATAAATAAATGAACTTTTGCCTTTAAGATATATTTACTCTCCAAGTTACAAACAATAAAAATTTCAATCTTTCAACACCACAGACATCTCCAGGAACCATAACAACATCTACACAGTTATTTTTTAAAATTTGAACATTTAGAGAACAGTTTAAAAGAACCACAGAATGGCAGAAGCTAAGGACCACTCTTTTTTAATTAATTGAATTCAAGCTATAATTAGAATTAATAAGACTTGTGAGGGCAGCTTATCAATATAAAAAGTAGATTTCATTATTTCTACAGGAATATGTTTTGGATGTTCTTGTAAATTTATAATTGAATTTTTTTACTTCTGTATATGACCAAAGATGGTACTAGAAGTATATGATTATAACTACTAAGGACTGGTAATGACAATAAGAGATTTAAAAGATCACTAGGGTTCAAGAAAGACAAACTAGAAGCTGGGATTTATACCTTAAAGCTAGGAAGGATTTAGACAGAAAAGTGATCTAAGTAACAGAAATGGTAAAGGCGGACAATGGTAAGAAGTACAGACAAGTTGAACACTGTGGTTGGAGCAAACCCTTAAGATTGTTAATGCAGACTGAAGAGAGTTCTGGAGAGAGAGAACTGTGAGCCACAGAAGATATTTGAGCAGACCAATAATTCAATTACGGTGACTAAAGTGTCATTTATTAAGATCCATCTTTGCAAAAGTCTCCAGAATTGACTGGAAATATGAGTGATAGCCACTTTTCAAAGAGAAATGAAAATAAAAGGACAGATTATGAAAGGGTAATAGGACCTGTGTCTCAATGGTCATGGAGAAAAGTTTAAACTTTATGTCTGTTTCTTCCATTCTCTCTCCACCACTGGAATCCACAACCAATATTATTCCATTGGGCTTTGTTTACAGTTGCAGGGCTGCAAATTACATGGGGCTTTTAAATTTTAAACCAATAAAATAAAAAATTCAGTTCCTCAGCTGTATTAGCTATATTTCAAGTGCTCAAAAACCATATGTGGCTAGTTGCCCACTTTACTGGACACAGCCAATCTAGAACATACCCCTCATTGCAGAAAGCTCTAACGAATAACCCTGGTTTAGAGGGTCTTACCCCGCCCCCTCAACATGTGCATTACAAAGATAAATTCGAAAGGCTTCTGCTGCTAAGCTTAGGTGTGACTGAGAAACAGACTTCCACTAAGCACTCTAGGGCACTTTACACAGCTTCCTAGAGCAGTTACAGGTCACATTTTTGTAAGACTTCCTTATTTAGAAGGAAAAAAAGGCAAGTTTAGAAGCAATATAAGCAGCCAGATATTCTAAAAACAGGATTACACTAGACATTTAAAAATGTGAATCTAGTCCAGGCCAGAACTGCTTTCCACAGTTAAAATAGGCAGCTGGTCTTGAGTAGGATTTGAGAGATATCCTCAGGACATTGTCAGTGAAAATAAATAACTATGCTGGAGTAGGGACAAGGGAACTAAAATGTACAGAACACCTACTGTACCAGGATTTGTTAGGCAGGATGTACAGGTAAATCAGATAGGGTTGCTGTCCTCCAAGAATACACAGTTCAATACAGAGACAGCATATTAGCGCAGTTTTAGCATAAGAACCAATACATCAGACTGCCATATATTTATCCATCCACCCATGCTTATTGGCACAGTTTTAGCATAAGAACCAATACATCAGACTGTGAAGGGGTTATGGACTGCATGTCTGTGTCCCCACAAAACTCTAATAAACCCCACCCCGAATGTGATGATATCTGAAGGTGGACCTTTGGGAGGTAATTAGGTTTAGGTGAAGTCATGAGGGTGAAGCCCCCTGATGGGACTAGTGTCCTCATGAAGGACACAGAGAGCTTGTTTCCCCTCTTTCCTTCTTCCATCTGAGGACACAATGAGAAGATGGTTGTCCATAAACCAGGAAGAGGGAAACACCAAGAATCCGACCATGCTGGCACCATGATTGCAGACTTCCAGTCTCTGGAATCGTGAGAAATAACTGTTTGTTTCTGAAGCCACAGTCTATGGCATTCTGTTATAGCAACCCAACTAATAAGACAGTGAGCATTGTTTATGGCATTCTATTACAGCAGCCCAAACTAAAACAGAGGGCATTCAAGACGAAAGGGATAAAAAGAGGGGTGAGTTATGGTCTAGAAAGGCTTCAGAAGGAAATGAAATGGGACTGAAGTCTGAAAAGCTACAAAATTATAACGAAGAAGGGAGAAGAACATTCTAGGCAGGAAACCAATGTAAACACAGATAAAATGATGGCAATATTCGCAGGAACCCAATTAAGTAATTTTTTCAAGGTCACATGGTAGGCAGAGCCAGAACTCAAATACAGGACTTCATTTTTTTTTAATTCTTCATTTTTAAAAGTATTACATATAGTATTACATATGTCTCCTTTTTTCCCCATTGACCTCTCCCTGGCCACCCCCACCCCCCCAGCTCAAATACAGGACTTTAAAAGCCTGCTTATTTTGATACATCGAATGTCCTACCCTTCTTCTCTATTCTTTCCTCTGGTTCCTACACATGATTCTGTGTTTCAAGATTCAAGACTAAATATTCAGGT